TTTCGGAAACCCTGCAAACAAAACTCAACAGAGATGAATGGCAATAAAAAGTATGCGGATTTAAAGCTAAATTTTCTTCATTCGTAATATTCATATGCAAATTCTGAATGCGCCATGCTAGCGAAACGAATCTCGGACATGTATGGTTCCCCCCCAGCCGATCAAGCCTGACGAATTGCTCTTGAAATGGACCGATTTTTTGGCCCAGGTAAAGGGGGTTTGAAAATTTTATTTCAGCAAACATTCACTACTTCTAAGTTTTCAGACAAAAAGATTAATTTGAATCAAATTTGCATTCAAGCTTTTTAACCAAGGTGGATTGGATTATAACAGAACGACCAATTGGGTGACTGGTTATCGTAGCAGCCTGGATGCTTCAATCCTCCAAGTGGAAGAGTTCGAAAATGAGACATGAACTAACTTAATTATGACCAGGTTAGGATCCTTCCGAGAAATCTCCCCGAAAACTATCATGATTCACTGCGCCTGGCCCGGGTACTCTAATCCCCCACTAGATCTCATCATCAGCTACATTTTCCGACCCCAAATCGATAGGTTCTGATAAGCGGTTCTCCGAGATTTCGAGGAAATTTAGGCGACAGCTCCGGGTGTGTACTACTATTAAGAGAAAATACGGTACTTGAGATTTACTTGAAGCATTACTCCCGTAAAACATTATTTACGCGAATTTATTCAAGTAATTACTTGCGCAAGAGGAATAGTCTTACGATTACGATCACAGCGCCTCTTGGTTTACTTTAAAGGCATTGAACAGGTGAATCTTTCATTCAAAGTTTGCAAATGAAACTCTTCCAGGAATTCGAGAACCTCGTCCCACACGGAACCAAGCTCAACTGGTTTGTCTATCATTCTCTCGATGTCATCGCTTTCTTATCGATCTCAATCTTTCTCATTCTCTTCATTCTTTATAAAACGATTCGTTTCACCGTTTGCAAGTGTTGCTCACTATGTCGAAGCAATGGAAAAACGAAAAAAGAATAGGATTCTAAATTGCTCAAGCTTTCTGTAAATAAATTTATGAAAGAATTTTTGAAACAAAAGCTTTTTTATCGCACTTTAGAAGTTACAACAAATACACTCTGTCAAAAAATTATAGACGCACCCTGTTTTTTGCTAGTTTAGAGCCGGATATAAGTGCTAGTCCAGTGAAAAGTACTTTTTAGTTTCTTTAATGTAAAAAAAACGACCCATGCAAAATTTCAAGTCATTTCACTCATCCAAGGTACTTTATCGCATAAAAAACGTTTTATCAGCTGTCAAAAAATTATAGACGCGCTTTTATTTTATCAAGAAAAAGTCAACAGAAATAAAAATAACAACACAAACCAAATAAATTAATAATGTGTGGCCCCTACTTGCTTTAGTCCAACTTCAAAAAGACGCTCGGCATCGAAGAGACAAGGTCATGGAGCGCTGTTGGCTGAAGCCGATTCCAGGCTACTTGAATGGCTTTCTTGAGTTCATTCACGCTCGAATATTGCTTGTTTCCCTTGTAGACATCTCGAACGAGTGTCCCCCACACATTCTCAATCGGGTTCAAGTCTGGGCTGCAAGCGGGCCAAGCGACAGTGCCGATTTTGTGCGCTGTCAGCCAATCTCTTCTGGAGCAACTTGCGTGAATACTCGCGTTATCGTGCATAAAAGTAAAGTTATTGCCCGCATTGTTGTTAAGATAGACGGTTAGATGTTTGTCCAACACTTGTTGATAGTCAAACGATGTCATCTGGGTCGAAATAAACTCTAAGCCGACCAGTTCACCGTCTCGAAAGGCTCCCCATACCATACATCCACCTCCGAAGTTTCTCGTGCTGAAGACCATGCCCGGCTTTCGTAAATCCTTCCAATATCCTCGAAAACCATCAGCACCAGAGTTTGTATGAGTTTGTATTTGAGTATTGTAGATCGTTTGACAACGTTGTGCACAGTTTGGCGAGTGACCGGAAGCTTCGTTTCCTTGCGAACCTCTTCGAGTGATGTCGTCGTGTTGGAAAGACCTCTCGTAATTGCGCGTTCGTCTTGATCGGACAACTTTTTCTTCCGGCCCCGTGTTTCTTTCTTCTTAGGAGTAGAGTGTGTCCCTTGCAGACAACGCGTTTTCTAAAAAGCGCGCGCCGAAGATAAGCTACCGTAACCCTATGCTTTGCGTCAGCAAATTTTTCAAATGCAAATGTACATTAAAATCTTGCGCATTTTTTCTATTGTTCTTTCCATAACTTTTTGTTTTTTCTCTTTTTCAAACAGGTTAAATTGATAATTCCTACTATTTAGAGTGTTGCGTAGAAAACCGTGTGATTGTGAGAGAAAATGGATGCTTCTCCCAGGAATAATAATACTTTATTCAAACGATAAAGTGAAAGAAATCATAGAGAAATGCACAGTGATACTTAATCATACAATACATACTGAAATCAATAAGCCAATTACTTACGGCAAAGAGCCACTAGATCTAAAGCATCGATACGTTTCTTGAATATGAAAAGCGACTGAATTTCTCGTATGTCGTTTGGGAGCAAGTTCCATAATCTAGCGGCTCTAACGGGAAATGAATTTGATAAAGAGGCATTGGAAGCAAAGGGAATTTGCAAAAGGAAAGAGCCACTTCTGGGCCCTGACCGCGGTTTAAATTTGAAAAAGTCTATAAACAAAGGGCTAATCTGTTTACAACGGAGGATTTTGAAAGTTTCGACTAAATCAATGACAAAGCGACGATGCTGTAAAGTTTTTAGTTCAAAAAAAGCAAGTCTTTCCTCATAAGTTAAGCTAGAATATTTAGAATAGTCAATTTTCCATAAAGCGACTTTTGTGAACCTCCTCTGAATTTTCTCCAAGCGTTCAATAAAGACTTGTGCGCGGGGGAGACCAAACAATAGAAGCATATTCTAAGATGGGGTAAATTCTAGTGATAGTTGCCTTTACGCTTATAAATCATTTTCAGACTTCCGCAACCCCTTCGCGTAAACCTAAAATGCCCTCACTAGCCTGGGATTTTATGTCAAAGTATGTAGATGTGAGCAATAAAGAGACTCGAGCGCAATGCAATCTATGCCCCAGAAACGCAGTTGCAAACTATGCCATTAGCGCCCTCTACGCCATGAAACATCATCTAAAAGTAGATTTACTTTATTTTTGCAAACCTTAAGCCAGTCAGAGCATCTGGTGGAGTGGACAGCGGCAGAAATTCACCGCGATAACACTATAGCAAACGTTGTAGAAATGACTGAAGGTGCAGATGCAAATGTGCAAATGGCATTGTTAGTGATATAAATTTTTTAAATGACCGTCTTTTCTAGGAAAAACGATACGCTTTTGACACTAGCTATGGCCGAAACTAATATCTCCATTACTCAGCTTAGTCGTAGCAAAAGGTGGAAAGCATGGTTTAATGCGCAAAATATCAAAATACCTGGTCGAAAAAGGTTTATAAAAATGTATTTACTACAAAAAAAAGTATACGATCGAGACCATACAAAATTCAACGATCGGTAGACTCGAAGACCAAATAAGGGAAAGCCTAAAAGAAATTGTGGAATGTTCGATTTCAAGCGACGCATACACAGCTCAAAGAAATCCTTTGAGTTACAACATCACTCTTGCCCACTTTCTTGACGCAAACGGCAAGGTGCGCAAAAAAAAAGGTAGCATTTGTCCCACTCCCCTAACCACCAGTTATTTTCTTGATTGAATATTTACAAAAAATTATAAAATTTAGACAAATTTCACTAATTTTCAATGAGTCAATTTAATGTAAAAGGTTAAAAACCCCAAATTCTTAACTCAGAAATTCAATTTCTAGACAAGATAAACCCGTTTCAAACAAATTTTACGACTATATCTCTCATTTTTCAGTGAAATTCATTTAAGATGATAGCCAACTAACTTTTTAGGTTTACGAATATAGAATTGAATATATAATCCTGCTCTAATTTCTGATTTCTAACTTCTGACTTCTGACTTTATCAAAACTTTTCTCTTTTCCTCTTGTTTCTTTTGCTTTTTGAGACAAAAAGTCTTATCAGAACGTGCAAAAGAGCATCGAATCCATTCATTGAAAGCACTTGGCCCGATTTGACCCCTGAACTGCTTTTTTTTAGATATTCTGTTTATTTTAAAACATTTCTTTTACCATTTTTACCATTTTAGGAGAAATGCGTCTACTCTTGCCATTGTTTTGCCTTCTTTCGATCGCTCATTCGGCCAAGATCGGCATCGTGTTATTGGAGATGGCGAATAGTCAGGTACAATGTTCTAAAGTTTGAAATTTTAATTTTTTTTAAAAGCAGTTGGTCTCTTTTTAAGATTTAAACTCTTGTTTAAACGAGTCTAAAGAGCGCTGGTAATATTTGTTTTGATTTGTTGGATTTGTTTCTCTTTAGAAGTACCAAAGAGCACTTTTTTTTACCTAGTTTTTGTCTTTTAACTTTTTAAAAAGTTTTTGTCTTTTAAAAAAGTATCTAATTTCAGAAGATTGACAGATTAGAATCAATTTTAAACCAATTTTGGGAGTAGGACAAATGCGACCTTTTTTTTGCGCACCCGGACATTTGCGCACCTTTTTTTCCGCACCTTGCCCATTAGCACACCTTTTTTCGCGTTTTAAAAAAGCAATTTGAAAGACAAAACGGCTAGATCAAATTACAGAAAATTGTCGATTTTTCTCTTTGTATAACTCCGTCCGCTTGTTTCCACAAGCTCTGATATGTCAAAATTTCGTTTCTACGCCCTAAAATTACCTAGAAAAACAACTTTTGGAATAGAAATTGGTTAATATAAGCTTTTTAGAGCTTTTTTAAAACGCGAAAAAAGGTGCGCTAATGGGCTAAGTGCGGAAAAAAAGGTGCGCAAATGTCCGGGTGCGCAAAAAAAGGTCGCACTTGTCCCACTCCCCCAATTTTAACCATTTTTTTAAAACTTTCTAAATCTAGATCATTTTCAACAAACGAGTCGCCGAGACGCTTCTCCAAGCGAATCATTCGATCACAATGGTCATGATTCGCCCGTTCGACAAGAAAAAGGTGAAAATCGAGATCGATCCAAGGATAAAAAGTAAATATTTCTAATCTATTTCTAATCTATTGCTAATCTTTCAAGATTTTATCCACTCTTTAGTCAAAACCGTCGACGCAATGGTTGCCGGTGTGAACATCGATGAGTGGGAGAAAGAGCAATCGGAGATGATTTTCGAGGTACAGTTCATTTATTAAGCGGCGAATACTATTTTATTTATATTTCTATTTTATATTTCTGCTTTACTTATATTTTATTTATATATTTATACAGTGGTCCACAAAAGTATTTTTTGCAAAATTCCTCCTGAAAACATATGTTTAAAATCTATATTTTTCTTTTAAAATACTTTAGAAATTCTAGTTGTTAAATAACTGAATTTTTTTTGATTGAGATCCTTCCAAACAAAAGATCGATGTCGAAGAGTGCACTTACCCCTAAAATTAGCTCCACAAAAGTAATGCCCCATTGATCGTTTTCATGATTATTCTTTTTATTTCTCCTTCTATGAACATTAAATGTATTCTATTGTATTATTTAGATTGCTGACATGAAAAATCTTGACACTCCGAAGAAGCTCCAAATCGCTAAGGCCCGGGAATATGGAATGCGGGAGAAGGGTGTGGTCAACCTCTTCAATTGCTCGATATGGACAGTGCGCCGCCTTTTTTCTCAATCAAAAGTCGGCAAAAACCTTCATCGAGGCCTCAAGAGTGGCCGACGACCAATCACAACCACAAAAGAAGATCAAGCCGTGACCAGAATGGTGAAAAACGATCCGAGCAAAACAACAACCGATGGAAGCCAAATGATGAGTGATCAATTTAGCAAGATTGTTTCGTCGGAAACGATCAAACGACGATTAATTCAGGCTGGATTATATGCAAGATGGGCTGCCCGTAAACCTCTGATGAATTCTAAGCACCGGAAGCAGCGCCTGGATTTTGCACGGACCTACCGAAGTTGGACAATAAGTGATTGGGCGAAAGTGCTATTTAGCGATGTGACAAAAATCAATTTATTTCACGCGGACGGAAACCATCTTATTCGGCGGCCGACTGGAAAGCGATACACACTCAAGTATATTCGGCCTACGGTGAAATTCAATGGAGGCAACATAATGTGTTGGGGTAAGATCCTTTTTCGTATTTTGTTACCTGACTGTTTTCCTTTAGAAGCGATGTCACGAACTTCAGTAGGTCCATTAGTTCACGTCAACTCAACGATGAATGATGTGGCTTACACGAACATTATGGAGACCCAAATGCTGCCTTTTGCCACACAGACGATGCCTCTTGGATGAATGCTCTGCCAGGGCAACGACCCGAAACACAAGTCAAGGCTCATGATGGGAACGGTGGTGACTCTTCAAAATGGTACACGAGCACGACTTCCGGGCTGGTTTGCGGCAAATCGAGTCAAATTGATCAATCCGCCTCCCTACTCACCGGATATCAATGTTATCGAGCATCTCCGGTCATTTGTGGAGCCGCGACTCAAGGGAAAGAAATTCGATTCGAAGGCTGCCTTATGGGTTCACATTCAATTTCTCTGGGCCATCATCCCCCAAAGTCTTTTGAAGAATCTCGTGGATTCCATGCCGGATCGACTCAATGAAGTAATAAAAGCAAAAGGAGGACCATCGAAGTATTGATTTTAAAAAGTTGTGTTAATTCTTTGCAAATGGGGCATTACTTTTGCGGAGCTAATTTTTAAGTAACTTATTGGTTTTGTTTTATATTTTATTTTGTTTTAATGTATACGGATAAATCTTATATTCTTGAAAAGTAGAGTCTTATAGGTAGATAAAAATACCCTACTCTTTTTCTGAAATGTCAATTTTGCAAGATTTCCTTACAAAACATACTGTTGGATGGCAATGGGGCATTACTTTTGTGGACCACTGTATTTTAATGACTACTTTTATACGAATTCTTTTAGGATGTATCGATTACTGGGACGCCCGGCAGAGGAAAATGATGTCCAAGATGAGTCTAGCGATGACTGAATCAAGTGCGAGAGTAAGTTGAAATTTTTATTAAAAACTTATTGCTTAGGGCTGGTCTTACAAGATATAAGCTATAATAGACCAAGGCCGGGGGTTAGGGTGGTGACCTGACCTGACCTACCTTAGGGCCGGCTGTAAAGCTGATAAACCGGCCAAGCCGGGGCATGGCCCTGTTGATCCAGGCCGATAAAATTCTCGGGCCAAGGTTACGATTTACGGTAGCTAGGTCATGTTTTAATCCGCTTAACTGATCTATTTGCGAAAACTATCGTAGTCAAACCGTTCAGTTAACCCGATTCTAGGGTCTTTCGATGGAGATCACAAGGTTCATTGAATGAAACTAAAATCAGGCTGATCGAATATGGGAAATTACGACTTGATTACAATAGTTTTCACAAACATAGACCTTTTATATTAGAAAACACATTACTCATTCTCACTCCAACTTTTCCAGAAGTGGTCCAAAACAAGGAATTCCTGCAGTGGTTTAAAAGATGAGAAGTTCGAGGTCGTCTTCTCACGCATATGGTTGAGTTGAAAAGAGTTGCGTTTGTGAATTCGAAACTTTGAACATTTAGTATGACTACTGCCCGATCGGATTAAATCACATAGCTGGGGTAAGTGATAATGATTTGATACACTGTAATCGTTATCTAGGTGAAAGGCTGGTTTTGGCTGAACTCGGGACTTATGATGGATTGGGTGGCCCGCTGCGATCGGTGTTCCACTCATTCCCCAGCTATACGCCGCGTGGGTTGCAAAGGGTTTGTTTAGGATTTTAATTGCAAATTTGGAGATTTGAATCTATGTAAATATCGGTGGATGGATGTTAATTTTTTTAGTTATTGGTCCGGAATATGGGTGGTTGGTGTGTCGGAGGTTGGGGATGGTATCGAATACCGATTTCTTTTCTCGGGGTTTCCTCTTGCGGAATACCCCATCCCTTTCTGCGGACTTATTCATTGGACTTGGGTGGTTTTTCGTGTGCCAGAAAGGGTGTTCTTTAAACAATAATAGATTCTGAAATATTAAACGATCTTTAAGCAATGATGATGGAAGCCCGGCTCAAAGATGAACTTCTACGAGCGATCGAAGAGTTTCTGCTTGCCAGGACATTGGCTTTTCAGGGCCATTTATCCCAGGTATACATCAAAATGTTGAAATTGTATTTTAAATTCAAAGATTTCCAGCATGATCCCTAACTCGAGCAAACGTGCGATTTTTCCGGAAACACGTCGACCCAACTTCCCCCGATCTTATCGAGTTGTCAAAACAGGTGACAAATTTTGAATCTTATCCCGTAAAGGATTTTACTGGGTATTCTTGAGCTTAACACTAAAATATTTATTATTGAGCAATTTGAACATCGAAATTTCAGTCCCCATTAGTGATGGTGAACACAAATGAGCTCTATGAGAGGATGGCAATTTCGTCCCACCCTGCACAAAGTGGTCAACATCGGCGGTGTGGGACTGCAATTTAAAGATGCGAAAACCATTGGAGAAGCCAAAAACTCTAATATTATTGTAATGTCTTTCAAGTTTTTTGTGCAATCATTGAATATTCAGGGAGTTTCAAACGATTGTCGACAAATCGAAGAAAGGCGTTGTCGTGTTCACGTTCGGCTCGGTCACTCGAATGGAGTTGATGCCACAGAATTGGAAGGTAAAGAAGAAAAATTCTATCTTTTAACTATAGCCAAAACAAGAAAGGGTATGCTATAGGCCTGAGCCTGAGCCATAAGCAGAAACAAAGTAGCCGTGAGCAAGATCACTAATAGCCTATGTGTGCCGTGCAGGCCGAGGCCCAAGTCCAGATCATACATCGTATTTCTCTTATAGTAGTGCACCCTTAGCGGCGCCTAAATTCCTCGAAATCTCGAAAAGCGCTTATCAGAACCTATCGATGTGTGGGTCGGAAAATGTAGCTGACCATGTGATCTAATGGGGGATTTGAGTGTTGAGCTTCTGCAAAAGCTTGGAAACCGAAAAATAAGTCACCAACTCGCTCAGCCGGGGTGCACTACTATTAGAGAAAATACGTTAGTTGTAGATCCTATCCAATCCTAGCTAATTCGGTTTAAGAATAATGTGAGATACTATTGTGTTCCGTCAAAATTACCTCAAAACCCTTTGGGAAGCATTCATGACAGCTTTCGGCAGTTTCCCCGACTGGCGAGTTCATTCTTCGATACGAGGGAAATGACTATGGAAAGTTTCCGCCCGAAAAACGTTCACCTCCACAAATGGTTGCCGCAGAATGATTTACTAAGTGAGTTACAGTATTGGATTTATAGCACTTTATAAAATTTACATTATAAAATGTAATAAATAAGCGTTTTTAAAGCCAGTCTTACCATTTCAGCAGCACCCGAAAACGGTTGGCTGGATCTCCGCACGGTGGATACAATAGTGTCCAGGTTTAAATGAGAAAATGATTCCAATAACTGTATATTTATATAAATTAAGTACCTATATAGATATGATGAGGAAGTTTTTTCACTTTCTTTTTTATTATTTTCAGCTTTAGGAGGCTTTTGAACGAGCGGTCAACCGATCATGACGATCCCTTTGTTTGGCGATCAACCGAAAAACGCTGAAAGGAGCCGAACAATTGGGTGAGCTGGGACATGAAAAGCCACTATTACATTTATTTACATTTAAAACTATGTCTAGATATATCTAGATACAATATTCAGGCTTATCTTTTAATCTTAGAACATTCAGGTTTTGGGATAAATTGGTTGTCAAACTGGCCTCTCTGCGGAAACCCTGCAAAACAGCACTCAACGAGATGCTTGGCAATAAAAAAGCATGCAGTTTAAAGCTAAATTTTCTTCGTTCGTATTATTCGCGCCATTGCAAATTCTCAGATACGCTAACGTAGCGAAACGAATCTCGGACATGGTTCGAAAGAAGCCGATCAAACTCGACGAATTGCTCTTGAAATGGACCGATTTCTTGGCCGAATTTCAGGTTTGAAGATTTTATTTCAGCAACATTCACTACTTCTACTCAACTGAATTACGACTAGATTTGGGTCCTTCCGAGTAATCTAAAGGGAAACTATCATCATTCACTGCTGGCCGGGTAGCCGAGTGGCTTGCGCGCTTGTCTCTAAAGCGAACAGCAGTTAGGCAGCAAGTTCGACCTTTGTTTGAGTTAAATTTTTGCCTTTTTTTATAAAAACTTTTGGTTCTTTGTTAGATTGGTTTTAGGAGGGTTTTAGCTAACAGTTAGTAAACTTATTAGCTTTCAAAAGCAAAGAAAAGTAATAACTGTTTATTTGAACAACTCGAAAAGCACAATACGATTACCGTATTTTCTCTAATAGTAGTGCACCACAGCGAACCGAGTTGGTGGCTATTTTACGGTTTCCAAGGTTTTGCAGAAGCTCAATACTCCTAATCCCCCACTAGATCTCATCATCAGCTACATTTTCCGACCCCACATCGATAGGTTCTGATAAGCGGTTCTCAGAGATTTCGAGGAACTGAAGGCGACGGATCAGGGTGCACTACTATTAGAGAAAATACGGTCCTTGAGATTTACTTGACGCGTTACCTATGGTTAAAGATTATTTGCGCGCAATTTATTCAAGTAATTACTTGCTCAAGAGGAATAGTCTTACGATCACGATCTCAGCGCCTCTTGGTAAAAGAACCTCTTGGTTTACTGTAAAAGCATTGAACGCGGTGAATCTTTCATTCAAAGTTTGCAAAGCGAAATTCTTCCGAATTCGAGAACCTCGTCCCACACGGAACCAAGCTCAACTGGTTTGTCTATCATTCTCGATGTCATCGCTTTCTTATCGATCTCAATCTTTCTCATTCTCTTCATTCTTTATAAAACGATTCGTTTTACTGTTTGCAAGTGTTGTCACTATGTCGAAGCAATGGAAAAACGAAAAAGAATAGGATTCTAAGTTGCTCAAGCTTTCTGTAAATAAATTTATGAAAAAGAATTTTTTGAAACAAAACAAAACAAAGCTTTTTTCAAACAAAAACTTCAGAAGTTAGAACCAATATTACTGAGTACTTACCGAGAAATTAATAACAAAAAAGTCCTTAAAAACTAGAAGAGTACGATAACTTTAGAACGCTTTAGAAACGCCGACCAAACTCCTTTCGGTTCTCTGGATTAGACCCGTCTCATGGCTGAGTATAAACACATCTGGATTCAAACTCTTACTCTCAGCTTATTAGGAGTGTGTCTCCGCGGGAGTACATGCTTTTTAAAACGTACACTTCGCAAAAATTATCGTGACTTTTGGCCAAGAGTATTGCAAAAATCACAAGCGCTTGACTTATATATGTTTTCTTTTAAAGATGTTCAGTCGTTTAACTAATTTGGTGGCAAATTTCCGTCAAATGTTAAAGATATTCAATTTACTCGACGTGTAAAGAGGATCGAGCTTGTAGTTACTCGGCGAGAAAACGTCGATTAATCGAGTAAAATTACTCATGCAAGTTTTACTTTGTTGAGTAATTATTTACTCACGCAAGGACACTATGATTGCGTAGAGTACCGTAAATACTGTGAATAGTACCCCATCCCCCTCTCGTACAGTCGCGTAGTCGCATAAGTTTTTAGTATTTCATTTTTCAAAGCGCTCGTACTTCCAAAATATGCATCTTTGGTATCAAAAATAGCCCTGAATTTCAGCTATTTTTTGATACGTAAACGAGCATTGCAGCATAAACCAGTGTCGAGAAAAACTCGTTCAAAGCTAGACTACGCAACGCTCCGCACCGTCATTATGGGGTGGAGTAATATTACAGTACTTCGACCTAGATAGATAGTAGTAATTAGATAAGTACGAGGACTAAGTAGATTGATTTTCTTCCGTTTACTAACTATTAGGTTGTCCAGTTATAAATGCGCGTTTTTAGGATAACGAACTCTTGTATTGAAAACGAACAGTTCTAACAGCTCAATCAACAATATATTCACCATTTGTTAACAATTATTTGTTTCCATCTTCCAATGAATTCCCTCCGCGTAAGAAGTGGCTTGTTTTAAGGCAAAGAAGTCGGCTATCCATTTTTCGACCTCTTGAACTTCTTTGAACTGGTTTCGGCCAAATGGCTTCGCATTGGGCGAGTTTAAATGGTAATCCGAAGGAGAAATATCCGGAGAATATGGCGGATGCGGGAGAGTTTCCCAGCCCAACTCTTCGAGTTTTTCCTGGAACAATCTTTGCAACGTGTGTGACGGGCGTTATCTTGAATCAACTTTATGTTTGAAGGATCAAGGCCTTTTCGTAGCAACCCATTGTTCACTCGTTCCAATTGTTGTGCTGCGTTGTCACCCGTGATTGTTGTGCCCAGGTTTAAGCAGCTCAAAATGCCCAATGCCTTGGGAATTCCACCAGACAGTAAGCATTACTTTCTTGTCAAGGAAGTCGGGTTTTGGTGTTGGTATTGGCTCCCACACCAGGTTCTGCTATTGCCGTTTTCGTGTGAATTATCATGCTATTGAATCCATTTTTCATCGCAAGTAAGGATTTCATCGTAAACCCAGTATTTTTTGCCAAACGAAGAAGAATACCCGCCATAGTGACACGAGTAGCTTTACGTGGCACTTGCTGAGTAGTGAGGAACCCATTTCCCTTGTCGGCTTGAGTTTCCCAATTGATTTAAATGCTCGGAAATGGTTTGAGGGCTTACTCTAAATATTTCTGCAAGTTCACGCGTCGTTTGTCGAGGATCCATTTCTATCGCGCCTGCTTCAGTACTGCATTATCGATCGCAGGAGGTCGTCGTTGGTGGTTCTTCGTCTTCCAAAGATTCGGTAGCTACTCGAAATCGTTGAAACCATCGGCGACCGAAATAGCATCTTCGCCAAATACTTTGCAGATCCGATGGGATTCAATGGCATTTTGCCCAATTTGAAGTCATACCAAAGACTGGCAAACTTCGTCTCGGTCATTTAAACACGGAAATTAAATCAAAAATGAATTAGTTTAACGTCAAAAACACGAAAAGTTGTAATAAATAAGAAATCTTGAACAACATATAGAGAATAGGGTTTGATAAAATTGTATAGCCCTAAGGTACACTGTTCAAGAGCAGGCGCGCATTCATAACTGGACAACCTAATAGATTCGACTGCTAGTTGTTTTTCTATGCATCCAAGCACTTTTTTTTTCCAGATCTGTTCGCGAGCTGGCCGATCATCGGCATCATCGCGAGCTTATC